GCTGAAGCAGGAGAATCACTTGAACCCTGCAGGCAGAGGTTGCAGTGAGCCGAGATTGCGCCATTGCACTCCAGCCTGGATGACAGAGCGAGACTCTGTCTCAAAAAAAACACAAAAAACAAAAAACAAAAGAAGTACTTTGAAGCTATGTAAATATCCTGCTACTAATTAAACTCAATTTATTCATTTATTTGGTTCTATCTTGTGCAATTAAGGTTTTCTGTTTAATTCAATGATTTATAACAAGGGTCTCCAACCCCCAGGCCACAGAGAGAAAGAGAAATATATATGTGTGTATGTACATATATCTGACATGCCAAAACACTGCTCTGCCCTTGCTTTTCCCCACACTCAGGCTCTGCTTTCTCTTTCTCTCTCTCTTTTCTGTCCGTTTAGTCATCTACTACCCTGTTCTCTGAACAGAAAGGCAGCAGGGTGCCTCAGCAAGTTCAATTCACAGAGAGTCAAGAGCTTGAGTATTTGGGTGTACTCTGCAACTAATTAGCTAAATGACTTTTTAATTTTACACCTTTTAATTTTCTTGACAATAACTGTTTTTAAATAGTTATTTTTGACATGTTATATGTACATGCATATGTAAACATAAATAACTGTTTTTTAAACAGTTATTTTTGTCCTTTGGTTATAGTCTACTAGGGATATGATTAATACACATTTTTTTTTTTTTTTTTTTTTTTTTTGAGACGGGGGTTTTTTTTTTTTTCGCGGGGGGGGGGCGGGGCAACCTCGCCTCAATGCAACCACCCTCTCCTGGATTCAAGCGATTCTCCTGCTTCAGCCTCCTGAGTAGCTGGTACTATAGGCATGCACCACCACGCCCAGCTAATTTTTTGTGTTTTAGTAGAGACAGGGTTTCACCATGGCCAGGATGGTCTCGATCTCCTGACCTCATGATCCGCCCACCTCAGCCTCCCAAAGTGTTGGGATTACAGGTGTGAGCCACCACGACTGGCTAATACACATTTTTAAAAGCAGTTTTCTTTTCCTTTTTTGAAGACAGGGTCTTGCTCTGTTGTCCAGGCCGGAGTATAGCGGTATGATCATAGCTCACTGCAGCCTCGAATTCCTGTGCTCAAGAGATCCTCCTTGCCTCGGCCTCTCAAGTAGCTAGGACTGCAGATGTGTGCCACCACTCCTTGTTAATTTCTTTTTTGAGAAAGGGTCTCACTCCATTAGCCAGGTTGGACTGCTGTGGTGTGATCACAGCTCACTGTAGCCTCAACTTCCTAGGCTCAAGCAATCCTCCCACTTCAGCCTTCTGTTTCCGGGACTACAAGCATGCCACTACACCTGGCAATTTTTTCTTTTTTTGAGATGGAGTCTCACTTTGTCACCCAGGCTGGGGTGCAGTGGTACAATTTCGGCTCACTGCAACCTCCTTCTCCCACGTTGAAGCAATTCTCCTGTCTTACCCTTCAGAGTAGCAGGGATTACAGATGTGCACCACCACACCCAGCTAATTTTGAGGTCTTGAACTCCTGACCTCAGGGAATCCAATCCTCCTGCCTCAGCCTCCCAAACTGCTGGGATTACAGGCATGAGCCACTGGACCTGGCCTACACCTAGCTGTTTTTAATTTTTTTTTTTTTTTTTGTAGAGTTGAGATCTCACTAACTTGTCCAGGCTGGTCTGAAACTCCTGGCCTCCTGCCTCAGCCTCCCAAAGTACCAGGGTTACAGGAATGAGTTACTGTGTCTCAATAGCTACTAATTTTTGTATGTCAATTTTGTATCTGCAACTTTACTGAATTCACTTAATTCTAACAGTTTTTGGTAGTGTCTGACATTTATAACATAATGTCATTTGTAAACAGGAACAATTTAACTTCTTCCTTTCCAATGTGGATGACTTCTATTTCTTTCCTTTGCCCACTTTCTCTGGCTAGAACTTCCAGTACTATGTTGAATAGAACTGGTGAAAGTGGGCATCCTTGTATTGTTCCAGATCTTGGAGGAAAAGCTTTCAACTTTTCCTGGTTTAGCAGGATGTTAGCTATGAGTTTGTCATATATATTATTGTGTTGAGGTACATTCTTTCTTTCTTTCTTTCTTTTTTTTTTTTTTTTTTTTTGAGACGGAGTTTCACTCTTGTTACCCAGGCTGGAGTGCAATGGCACGATCTCGGCTCACCGCAACCTCCGCCTCCTGGGTTCAGGCAATTCTCCTCCCTCAACCTCCTGAGTAGCTGGGATTACAGGCACGCGCCACCATGCCCAGCTAATGTTTTGTATTTTTAGTAGAGACGGGGTTTCACCATGTTGACCAGGATGGTCAAGGTACATTCTTTCTATACCTAATTTGATGAGAGTTTTTATCACGCAGTGATGATGAATTTGTCAAATGTATTTTCTGCATTTATTGAAATAGTTATATGCATTTCAAAAGTTTTTGTGTTTCATTCTGTTAATGTGATATCACGTTTATTGATTTGTATATGTTGAAACATCCTTGCATCTCTTGGTTGAATCTCACTTGATCATGGTAAATGATCTTTTAAATGTGCTGTTGAATTTGATTTCCTATTATTTTGTTGATTGTGGTAGTGCCTTTTTATTTGGGACCATCACCTCTAACTAAATCTAGCCTAAGAACAGCACTTCCTTGATCTCATCAAGCTCTTTTTCCTATCTTGTTAGCAAAGTTACACCAATACTTCCCCCTCTCATTTGCATTTTAAGGAACAAGGCCCTTAAAGGTACACTGAAGATGCATCTAGGTGGCTCAGGATACATGTGACTAAAGCACTGCTCTGCCCTTGCCTTTCCCCACACTCAGGCTCTGTTTGCTCTCTTTTCTGTCCATTTGGTCATCTACTACTCTGCTCTCTGAATAGAAAGGCAGCAAGGTGCCTCAGAAAGTGCACTAGGAGTCAAGAGCTTGAGTATTTGGGTGCACTTTGCAACTAATTAGTTAGGGTAGTCAGTGGCTCTTTATAACACTCTCTCATCATCTGTGAAATGACTATAATAGGTGGCAGGAACATTGTAGGAATCAAAATAGATAATCTGTGTGAGAAATGCATGTGTTTAGAAAACTCCTCCGTGGTTATATTTCATGGCATACTTTTCTGAGAAGTGTCATCAGCCAATTTCACATCCCACACCTTGTATTTACATCCTGATGAACTACTACTCCTTTGTGCTACCAGGGTCTTCATAAATGAAGAATGAATGAAGAGGGGCAAGACTGAAGGCAGAAAGACTACATAGAAGCCTTAGTATTATCCTCCACTGTTCTTTCTCTGACACTCCATATCTCAATCCAGTAGGTCCCTCTTCAAAATATATCCATAATACCCCATCCAGAATCACACACGTGTGAAAATTAGAAAAGTATTTGAGGCCGGGCGCGGTGGCTCAAGCCTGTAATCCCAGCACTTTGGGAGGCCGAGGCGGGTGGATCACGAGGTCAAGAGATCGAGACCATCCTAGTCAAAATGGTGAAACCCCGTCTCTACTAAAAATACAAAAACATTAGCTGGGCATGGTGGCGCGTGCCTGTAATCCCAGCTACTCAGGAGGCTGAGGCAGGAGAATTGCCTGAACCCAGGAGGCAGAGGTTGCGGTGAGCCGAGATCGCGCCATTGCACTCCAGCCTGGGTAACATGAGTGAAACTCCG